TGTGCAGGCGCCGAGGGACTCCCGGGAGGCCTGGCTCAGCGTCTCCTAACTCAGCATGTGCTTTCAAACCATCGCCTTTTCTCCTGGTGATGTTTAAAGTAATAAAGAATTACGTTGAGCGCCTCCTCAAACTTACAAATCTCCAAAGAAGATTGTATGTGGCCCCTGCTGGTGTGGCTCAGCTGGTTGGGTGCCCGCTGCTCTGAAAGGTTTCCTTTCAATCCCTGGCCTGGCACGTGCTCAGGTTTCCGTTGGGTCCCCAGTCGCGGTAAGGGGCGTGCAGGAGGCAGCTCTCATGTGCTCTCACATTGATGTTTCTTCCTCTCCCGCTCCCTGCCTCTTTCTTTAAAATATCAATTAAAAATCTTTTATAAATTAGAAGGTACTTTTCAACTCAACCAAATTATTTTGGGGGAAAAACACATCTAGGTTGAAGTTACATTGGACTTGTCCTATTTCCTGTCGGCATTACATGCTCATTCCTGTGTTCTTATATGTCCCAGGGAGATACTGCAATGTATTTATTGAATATAAAAAGCACAATGTATCAATGACCAAACAAAGTTGGCAACAGTGAGGTGGACAGTGAAGGGAACTTTTTGCAATCAAGGCGAACAGCAAAAACTTCAAAGGACCTGCTTCTGCTCGACTAGGTAATTTCAAGCAAAAGCAACATTTATTTGGTTTCTGTAGTACATTGACACATTTTTCTACTCTGCAGTAAATTCCCCCAAACACTGAAAACTCTTCATCTTTAAAAAGTCTTTCTAGGCCGCCTCTGGGAAGGGGCCGCTGGCTCTCATCTTGCTCCCACAGGGCCCGTGGTTCCTGCTGCCCGGCCCGGGTGCGCTCAGAGCCGCGTGGAGGCCGAGCCGGTGCTGCTTTCAGAAGCTGGGACGCTCTGCTCTCGGCGCACAGGAGGGCAGATCGGTGTGGGGAGAGGAGTGGATTCTGACACTAGGAATGGAACATTCTTATCACAGATCCCCACTTTTCACAAGAGAAAAGGGAGGCCCCAAGAACTGACTTACCCAGGACTACGCAGTGTGAGCGGCAGTGGCAGGGACCTAACTGGTGTCTAACCTTCTAACCCCCTGCGCCCTCCACAGCTCCTACTGTCCAGGCCTGCAGTACGGCTGCTCCCACTTCCACAGGCTGGTGCCTCAACAGCTGCTCCCTCAGTGCCTGCCCCTGCCCTCAGCTCTCCTGGCCC